TTCTCTCTCTACTTTCTGCCTTTCACATTTCCAAATAAAAATAGGCTATCCTGAGTACAAAAAAAAATATTTCCCTCGACTCTGGTATGTGTGTCTCCTGCTCTGAATGTATTTCATTGATCTGTCACTCTGTGTTGTCAGTAAATAAAGCAGAGCAGCCCTCTATTTAACACAATCACATTTTCTTTTTTGCTTTCTTTTTTTTCTGGAAGGCAGCTCATACCTGCTCAGAGCCTTCTGTGTGTCCAGCATATGAGAAACATGTTCTTTAATCTTCACCGTTCTGTGAAGTCACTGATCCTAGTCCCATATTATTGGTGGAGATGTTGAAAGTTAAAATATTCAAAAAGAATGTCTGAGCTCACACCGTCAGCAGTGGTGCTAGTTCTGGACCACGGGCCTTTGATCCACAGCCCCGCGGCAGTCAATATTATTCAAGTCAGTATTATTCCAGGAGACCATGTCTGCCCCTGGTGTCTAAGCATACGGGTTTGGGAGCCCATTTAAACTGGGTTTGAGGGATTGGGGACTTGACTTAGCGGCATAAGCACCAGCCTTGCAAGCGCGCAGTCGTGAGTTTGATCCCAGGTATACCATAAATAAATAAATAAAAATAAACTGGGTTTGAATCTTGGCTCAAGATAAAGTCTATGATTTAGACAGATTATTTCTCCTTCCTAAGTCATATAAAGTTTCTACAGCTGTAAAATGAGAGTATCTTATTCCTTTCAGGCTGCCGTGAGAGAAATAAAAAACTTTGTGGTTTATAAACAATAGGAACGTACTGATCACAGCTGTGGAGGCTGAAAAGTCAAAGATCAAGGTGCCAGCAGGTTCGAGGGTGTCTGGTGAGGGCTGGCTGTCTAGTTCATAGATGGTGCCTTCTTCCTCACATGGTGGAAGGGTCAAACAAGCTCCTTCAGATCCCTGATGCTACCTCCCAAAAGTACCACCTTGGGGATTAGGTGTCAACATTTGGATGGAAGCAGGGCACAAATGCTTAGACTAGCTGGAGCAGTGACACTCACCCCCCGGTATGGTAAGGATTCACCAAACCACTCATACAGAACAGTTTGCGGTGTCTCGCCGGCTCAGAGTGGACCTGTGCATCTGCTTTCAGGTCACTGCAGTGTTACGTAGTTAACTGGCTCCTTGTGTCAGGGAGACAGGTTGAGGGGTGGCGGCTGAGGGAGGCAGAAGCAGTAGGTGGACGGACAGCAGTTGGGGTGGAAGCCTGCAGACCCCTTCCAGCAGAGGCCTTCTTATAGGTAGACAGAGGACAGGGCCCACGTGGGCTGTGCACCCCAGGGAAACAGCTCCGAAGAGGTCTAGGTCTGCTCCAGAAAAGAGAGAGCATAGCCTCCAGAAGACCCCAGAGAATTAAGAGGATATTGAATGGGGCTGGTGGCAGAGGACAAGGTGGTATTGAATAAGGTCTAAGCCATGGATCCTGGGAATAAAAAGCAAGACTGTCACTCAGGTTGACAGAGCGTAGGGAGCTCTGTCTTCTCATGTACTAGTTCCCATTCCTTCCTCTGCCCTGACTGCAGAATGTGTCACTCCTCTGTGTTGAGGAAATGGAACTGCCCCTGGGCATCCATCCTGGGCCCTTCCCCTCCATCTCTTCCTGGTTACAGGAAACAGGACAGTAGTGGTTTCATTATTGAACACTGTAGATTCTGAAGGAAGATGAGATTAGAGGGAAGAATCTGCCTGGCAGAGGGGTACAAAGGAAGACTGGTCCGGGAAGACACAATCATGGGAGAGAAGTGTGAAGGATGCTCAGAAACGGCTTGTAGGAAACAGGCAGCGTCCACGGAAGAAAAGCTCAAGGCAGGCAACTCAAAGTGATGGAATTCAGAAAGTGCTTTGGAAAGTGCTAGACAGGAGAGAAAGAGGGGTGACTGACAAATGAAGTGACTCAAAGACCTGCACCCCAGAACAAGCAGCATCCAGACTCTGACAAATGGTTGTGTGTTCATTTTTGCTCAGGCATACTGTCCAGAAGACCATCAGATCTGCTGTCGGAGATTAAACAGAGGAGTGTAGATCGTTGGTGTGTGTGTGTGTGTGTGTGTGTGTGTGTGTGTGTCTGTGTGAGAGAGAAACAGAGACACAGAGAGACTAGGAATTAAAGCCAGGGAGCACCAAACTACATATGTAACCCTTTTATTCTCTAGCCTGAGATAGGATTTCACTAAGTTGCCCAGGCTGCCCTTGAATTTACAGTCCTTCTGCCTCAACCTCCCAAAGAGCTGGAATTACAGGCGTGGACCACCCTCCTACATCTTTAAATTTTGACTGAGGTGGCCTCCCTCCTTCCCTTCTTTCCCTGCCTCTCTCTTTCCTTCTTTTCTTTCTTTCTGGCTTTGAATCCTGAAATAACAAGATTGGCAAGGAAGGTGTCCATCCTTTTCCTGTTCTATAGTTTCATATTTCTATCTTCTTAGAGTAGGGGAATAATGAGAGGTATTTTATTATCCTTTAGGTGTATTTTGGGAAGATTACTTTGGGCAGATTTTGGGAAACGTGGGCTCATTTGGGAGTCACCTTATGTTTTCATAAAGTAACCCCTCCAATAGTTGTTTCTAATAGTTTTAATCATGAGGTAACATGTATTTTATTTAAATCATTTCCATGAGTCAGACTGATATGTTACTGGTTGCTTCTGTAATCATGGTAAAATTCATCACAAATTCTCTGCAGTGTGTTAGTTCATTTTGCAACGGAAAAGACTTCTAGAGAAATTAGTTACTTGCACAGATCTTAACCTCGACATTCTTTCACTGTTGCTGTGGAAACCAATAACACACTGTGATTTGTGAAAGAAAAATAATCAGTGCTAAACATCAGTAAAATACATGAGGAATAAGCTTTTTTTAATACAGAATTTTTTGAAGTCATGATACCTAGAACCAACTGAGGCTAAAAGACTCTGAATGATTCACAGGACTAAAGCATACACAGTTTTTCTCAGAAGCAGTATGGGAAACAAATTACCAAGTCTTTTAAAATATGAATTCAGTTTTTTGTTTTGTTGTTGTTTTTAATGTGGAGGAGGGAGCCCAGAGCCTTGCACATACAGTATGAGGTAAGGACTCTACCACTGAGCTACAACCACAGCCTCAAATGGTAAAAGTGTTTAAAAAAGATATTTTCATTAGTAGCCACATTCACATAGCTGCTGCTACCACAGGCCACTGGGTGTGTACCAGGGAGACACTTGGACCCAGGCCCCCAGCTACTCACTTTCTTTAACATGGAGAAGGAACTAGATAGTTTTTGAAGGAGACATCGTCAGTTGAAATGGTTTCTCCCAGCAGAAGACAAGGTGGTAGCAACCTGAGCCAGGCTCGGGAGCTGCCTGGGAGTTTTCTCCTGGGTGCCTGTATGAGGATGCGGCAGGGAAGAGGAGGCCCAGTATGCTTAGCACCAGCTGCCGCCCCAGGAGAGTTCATTAGACCCTGCGCCTGGAGAGCAGGGCTGGTGGGATTGCTGGCCACCTGTGGGTGCTTTTAAAGTAGATTTTGGATAGTCTTTGAATAGATGGACTGGTTTGAGTGCCCTGTATCATACTTGTGACCATGAGAGTCCAGGCAGAGATAGGATTAGAGCTGGATGAGATATTTAATCCAGTCCTGCCATGTTGCTGATGAAACAGGGGCTCATAGAGGGAAAGGGCTGGCTGGCCACTCGTTCCTCCGGGATGACAGTGCTGATCACTGATGGTACAGCCCAGGTCTCCCCGCCTCTCTTTGTATGTGGGTTCCCCCAAGGTCATTCGCTGCGTCCTGCTACTTTGCAGTTTTTCCTTTGTAACATGTTTTAATTGGGAGATGAACTCCACCACATAATGTCAGGTCTGACCGATTAAAATGTGCTTTATTAATTTTTGAATGATACCTATTTTTATCTAAAGTAAGAAAAGAGTCATTTTCTACTTCTGCAAAATCGAACTTTCAAGTAATTCATATATAACTATTTAAAAACTAGACACATTGTTCCCTTGCCAGCCCTAAAGCTTCGAAGCTGATGGATATTTTATGGCTTGACTCAAGCTCCCTGTGTTGCATGGATCTTTGTGCATGTGTGTGTGTGCGTGCGTGTGTGTGTGTGTGTGTGTGTGTGTGTGTGTGCATGTTGTATTGTTGCAGAAAACAGATCACATGCAGGAAGAAACAGCACTGAGGAGATTTAGGAGGCAATCTATTACATAGATGGGCTTTTGATTAGGATCTCTCCCAAAGAGTCAGTGCCCAGCCTGGCAGGGTTTTGGAAACTTGAAAAATAAAAAGGAAGGTATAAAGGCAGATTCGGCACAGGTGATTGGAGGTTGGCTGGCATCATCAGTTGTTAGGTGGTCTGAGCATCTCAACTTACATTGTTAGTCTATTAGTTACACAAAGGCAGTAAAGAATACCTCAAGTTACATTGCAAGGCCATCATACGGAGGTAGAAAAAAACAGGAGGTAGTTATACGGAGGTAGAAAAAAACAGGGATTACACAAAAAAAAGGAATGCTGTGTTATCAGGATTGCCCGAACATGTCTGCTGGGTTTGGTGGACTTTCTTAGGAGGCCTTCGTCTAAAATTTTAAATTTCTTTTCAGTATAACACTGTGCTATGTATCCCTGAGCTATTATTTTGCTGAAAAGTAGTTTCAGAATATCAACAATATTGCACGTATGTTTCAGTACTTTGGTAAAATCTTAGAGTTGTAAAACTGGGACAGAGGCATCACCTTGGGGATAGAGTACTCCATTTCCAGCCAAATCATAAGTGTTTATTCTCTCTAGGGATGTAGATCAGTGATCAAGCATTTGCCTAACACATACCAACTCCTGGGTTCCATCGCCAGTACTGCAAAAAAAAAGAAAACAAACAGGGGCACAATATGTATTCATTCTTTGATAGCAATGATAGAGGGTGGAAAAACCTTATGATGTCATTACGCAGATTCAAGTTATATGGACACGTTTTCCTTTTCTAATCCTCTGCAGAAAGAGAGCTCCTAAGGACAAACATGCGGGGCGCAGCCAAGCCCTGGAACCCGGTCGTCAAAGCAGGGACCCATTGCTCTGACCGAGCCCGGCCCCTCCCGGCAGCCTCTTCCGGCATGAAGAATTCCAAGTCTTCCACCTCCTTGGCTTTCGAGTCCCGGCTCAGCAAGGTATTGCCTGAGATGCCCAGGGCAGGGCTGTGTGACATCCTCCATGCCCTGGTTGGCAGGATTGAAGAGGGCAGTTAGCAAACCAGGGGCCTTTCAGGGTGGGGAGGCTCCTGAGGAGGGGCCAGCATGTCTTAACCTAAGGGGACAGAGCAAGTGGCTATGTAGTAGAAGCCCTGGGGTCAGAAAAGGTAATCTTTTGCAGTTATTGAGGTCATCTGCCCTGGACTATTTGGACAGTCCAGCATCTCCCTGGATGAGGATCAAGTCCCCCATAATCTTTTTGATCCTGGTAATCTAGCTGTTTTCTCCATCCTCATCTTGCTTGACCTGTGAACACTCTTCGTTATTAACATCCCATCAGAGAACGCATCCTTCAGCCTTCTCTCATTTCCTCTTCCCTCCTGCTCATTCTCTTGGTCTCTAGCATTAACTGAGCCAGGCACCATGCTTAAACTCATCTCTTTGCCGGCCACAGTCATTCTCATGTCCAGCGTTCTCTCCAAGCCTCATGGATAACTTCTTTGCTGTCCTGAAATTCAGACCATGTTACTATATGACAGACAGACATTTGAAAAATCAATGCAGGATCTTGATGCTGGGATGAAAGTATTAAATGACGTGTGTTCCACCTGCCAATGGCTGAACATGACTACAAAGAACTCAGGGTTTCCAGAGAGTGCCAAGACACGACTGTGACTGTGCAACCTGCCTCAGGCTTGTCCTGTTGGATGACACAGAAGTGATAAGTGCTCTTGCAAAGTGCAGTCTTCCCTTAATTATGGATTATTCTTAGAAAGTTCAGTTTATCTTAGGATTGTGCAACAGTACCTTGTCTTTATATCTAAAATGAACATAATAGCAAGTGTGGTGGTACACGCCCGTAACCCCTGCACTCAGGAGGCTGAGGCAGGAAGATCATTGCAAGTTGGAGAGCAGCCTGGGCTACAAAGTGAGCTCAAGACTGGAACTGCATAGCGAGACCCTGTCCCAAAAAGACAATAAAATAGAATAAAAGCAAAAAAAAAAAAAACATGGTCCAGTCAGGCACGGTGACACATGCCCATAATCCCAGCATTTTGGGAGGCTGAGGCAACAATATTTCAAATTTGAGCCCAGTCTGGGCAATTTGGTGACTTAGTGAGATCTTGTCTCAAAATTTAAAAAAGAAAGAAATTAAAATGGGCTGGGAGTGTACTCTGTGACGGCCCTAGATTTAATCCCTGACACCAAGGGGAAAAAGTGTTCCACCTGTGTATGTTTGCAGAGTCCATGAAAACTACATAGGCTTTTGTTTTTGTTTTTGGTGAAAAATTGTCGTGTACATTGTAGGCCATCTAGATTTGCCATCATGTCACCCCTTGCATATCAGTAGAAATCCAATCATGGTAGCATCCAAAAATGCATGGAAGGTGTCCAACACACTCTTAGAGGGACAGCATGGTCTTTATCATTTTTTCAGGTGACAGTATCTGTTGTCATGGCTTCTAATGCTCCAGTGGATAATGTCCACCTTCATGCCTCTAGCCAGGACCCTCCCATGCCTTTGTGATGTGACCCGTTAGATGGCCAAATACTGTCTGCGGTGTAAGCTGTTCAAGACGGGACCCTGATTCCTTCCCTTCATCCTTCCTCATTCCTAATCCTGCTCTCCCTGCATCTTCCTCTTTAATAAACGGGAATCCCATTCCTTTGGTTGCTCAGGTCTGAGCCTAAGACATCTTTTTCTTTTGTTTCGCCCTTCCCTCCTCTCCCCTGCCCCTCCCTTTCCTTCCCTTCCCATCCCTCCCTTTTTCTTCCTGTGATACTGAGATTTGAATTTAGAACCTCACACATGTGAGTGCTCCACCACTGAGCTCCACCCCCAGCCCTTGTGTGTTTGCTTGTTTGTTTATTATTTTGAGACAGGCCTCACTAAGTCTCCAAACTGTCCAGCCTGGGCTCAACATGCAATCAGTCCCTTTACCTCAGCCTCCAACAGTGTCGGGATTCTAGGAGCGGGCCACCATGCCCAGCTCCTTTCCTCTTTTTTCCATGTCCCACTGTGCACCCTTGAAAGGCTGTCACTTTTGCCTTAAAAATATGTCAGTTACAACCATTTCCTGCGGCCGTCCCTGTGACCTGCCTTCTGCGCCTCCGCCCTTCTCACCTGCCTTCCCAAACCACCTCTCTGCTTTCGTCCTAGTGTTCCACATTCTGTTCTCGGCAGAAGCCAGAGTGGTCCTCTCAACACATAAGCCCTGTCACTTCTCTGCTTAAAACCCTTCAGCGCTGTCTCTCTTCTCTCAGCATGAAGCGGCCACTGATACTCTCACAACCTGATCCCATCCCCTCTCAGACATTGTCACGCTCCTCTGTGCCCTGGCTTCCAGAGCTCTGACCGCAAGGTTTCCTGGTGACTGTGGTGACCATTCCTTGGACATGCCAGGTATATTGGTGTTGGCTGTTCCTCTGCTTGGTTGGTACCTTATCCGAGATATCATCCATGTCTGCTATCCAAAGTGCCTCCGAGCTCCATCCACCCTCCTCACCCTGTCTTCGTTTCCCTCTCAGCTTTTATACCAGCATGAACGTGCATGCACACGCTCACACATGCACACACACTCTGCTTCTTCAGTATCTGTCTCCTCATGGCTGGAATGTAAGCCGCGGTGGGATACAAAGTTCCGATCTTTGCGCTTAGAAAACTACCTGCCTTGTGGACACTCGGTGTTTACTGAATGCTCAAATTCCCCTGTTTTTCTGGGAGTGGCAATCTGGTGGTGAAGGAGGAGCTTGGAGTCAGTCACACCAGCCTGAGGTGGAAGGTCTAAAGTGCAGAAGTGATTTGTAAGCAAATGAGATGTTGGCCATGTCCACCATCTTGGTGTTTTGGAAACATGCTCTATGGGGAAACTATCAGAGAAAGTAAGTACTCCTGTTAGAGGCTTCCGCTCTGCTTTCTAAATGTTGGCTTTCATGGTTTGATTGGAAAAAAAGAATGCTAGGGATCAAGGGAAGGAGCAACAGAAGGAACTGAACCATGCCTGCCCCATCTGGCCTTCCTCTAGTTCCTCTGTTCTGACCATCTCCTTTCCTGTGGCTGTGGTAGAGGAAGACGTAAGAATCCAGAGAACAGATAAGGAAAAGAGGAAATGTTGGTGGTCAGAAAAGCAAGTAGCTCTCCTTTCTCTAATAGTTTACTGTGGAAATTGCAAGCAGAGAGAAAGTAGTTAAATTACACAGCAAACACCCTGGACTCGACAGTTAGCATTTTATTCTATTTGCTCTAGTTTACAGGAAATGAATACATATATTTTAATTGGTTAAAAAAATAGGAAAATTAAAACAAGTCACCAAAAATAGAACTAAATTGCCAACTTAAAATACTAACCGAGTTGCAGGAACAGTCAAACAACAAGCCAGGAGACAACAGGAACCCAGACGGGAGGAACTGTTGCTGTAAATTTCCCTCATGAATTATAAGAGCACCTGAAGCACTCTGGTTTCAACAGCCCAACCCATTCTGGCCATTTAGGAGGCCAGGACTGTGAGCCAGATTGTTGCAGACTGTTACGGCTTAAATAGGAAGTGTACCCAAAGACTCGTGTTGGGGGCTCGATGCCCAAGGAGCGACGTTCAGAGATGGGCCAAGTGAAGTAACTGGACCTGGAGGTTACTAACCTCCTCAGTGGCTTAAGCCTTTGATGATTTCATAGCTGAATGAGTTGTTAGGAAGAGGCCCAGCGGGAGGAGGCTGTCAGTGGGGGTGGACCTTTGAAGGGCACATCCTGTCCTCCCTGCTCCCTTTCACTCTGGGTCTTTCCTGGCTGCATGAGGTGACAGGTTTCCCCTGCTGGGCCCTTATGCCATGATGTTTCTGCCTCACCACAGACTCAGAAACGCAGAGCCAGGGCCCGGGGATTTAGCTCAGTGGCATAAATGCCTGCCTGGCAAGTATGAGGTCGTGAGTTCAATCTCCGGTGCAAAAAAAAAAAAGCCACAGAGCCAGCATGACTAAAACCTCCGAAACTGTGAGCCAAAAGAACCCTTTCCTCCATTAAGTTGTTTATATCAGGTATTTTATCTCAGTGGAAAGCTGCTTACTAGCTCAGAGCGAATGGATCATGACCTAGGACAACCTGGGTTTTTCTCTCTCTCCCTCTCTTTTTCATCTCGTTTTGTCTCGGTGGAAAGCTGACTAATGCAAAAGGATGGAGCATTGGCTTGAGCTTGTTCATCCCTCAGTATTCACAGAAGATTGGTTTAGAACTCCACATGGTTACCAAAAGCCACTTCATTATGTAAAATGATGCAGTATTTGTATATAACCTATGTACCTCTTCTCATGTATTTCAAATAATCTCTAGGTCTTTTATAATATCTAATGCAATATAAATGCTTCATAAATAGTTGTTATCCTATTTAGGGAATAATGACAAGGAAAAAAGTCTGTCGTATTTAGTACAGTTGCAATTTAAAAAAATATTTCGGTCAGAGTTGGTTGAACCTGCAGATGTAAACCTGCGGCTACTGACAGCTGACTGACTGCGTGGTGAACATTAAAAACTTAAAGTTTCTGGGCTACTATGAGCGCAAGTGTTTGCTAGCTCAGAGCGGATGGATCACGACCTAGGACAGCCCAGGTTTCTCTCTCTCATCTCTGCTTGCCTCTGCACCTTGAATCCACTGTTGCATACTGACACCCAGCCTTCCCCAGCGTGTGTATGAATCATGGTAGCTAGCATGCTGTACCACCTATATCTCTTGGGAAACCTAGCCACTTTTTTGCTCGTTTCCTACTTGTTTAAAAAAAAAATTGGAAAGGCTCTGCGGAGCTCTGCCTCCATGGGTTTGTGTTAATCTGTTCAAGTAAAGGATCCTATTACTTAGGAGGTTGTGGCAGGAGGACTACTGCAAGGTGGAGGTTTGCCTGGACCACGTAGTAATTTCCATGCAGGCTGAACTACATAGCAAGATCCTGTTACAGTGATGCACATCTGTAATCCCTGCACTGGGAGGCT